TGAGTTCTGTAAATGTCACCCATTGATTTCAAGTCTGATATTATTAATATATTCTCATGCTAAAAAATCATAAAACGCGCAGTTACTTTCTCAGAATTTATTTATAAACTTTCAAAAACCTGGCAAAACGTCTCACAGCACGAAAATGGCTGTGAAGTCAGTGTAGGCATGAAAGACGGCCATGTGGCTTATTTTAAAATTATATATTTCCAGTATGAAGTCATCGAAGATATGTAATAAAAATGCCTAAATTAGAACTATTTACGCAGTTATTAAGTCATACGAGGCCATAATCATGAAATAAAATATAATAATACATTATAACATTTAACATATGTGGAAGTCACTGGTTTCGCATCTCTCGGACGGAGTGTTTACCAAGTCCATACAAAACTTTTTTTATATTGTTTGTGGATTGTTGTACTGCTGAGCTCCCAAATAATTGTCATCCCATAAAATTGTTGAAACAAAATTTTGACCCGTCACTATATAAAAGCCCCAAGAGGGAAGTTTAGACAACTTCGGGCGGAGAGACTGTCAATATACAAACTAAGATCTGATAAACCAATAATATTAATAGAATTCCTCGGTGCAGGCAGTCATCCTCCACCAGGTGGCAGTCGCTTCGTTAGTTTGGGAACTAATAGATTAAAATCGTAATCGACGCAAGAAGGAATGAACGAAAGTTTTTTTTTTCAACAAAAGACTTGTCAGGAATCAAAACAAAATCATTTCTGTCTGCCAACCAAGCCAAATCAGTCCAGTGCGTGGCCGACAAGCCCGGTGTAGCAGTTTCAGATGAAATGTGGGTGGAGATGAAATGATTGCCCAACATATCGTACCGCGCACCAGGCAGTTCGCTTTGAGATTCCGTGGAGTGCAGAGCTGGCGACTGATACATACGTAACCGGCACAGGAGACTGCAGGTGTTTCGCCTTTTTTTTTGTGTATGTATATGTTTTAACTTATAACATATTTTCTTTTGGATATGTATTCGGCCTCCTTCTGCCCAATATATATTGAACGGGTGGAGATGAAATGTTTGCCGAATATATCGTTTTGTTTTTTTAATTTTCAGTCAGAAGCCTAGCTAAGATTCTTAAATGTTTGTATATGCCTTTAAATTTAATTAAATATAATTTAAGCAATACCAAACGTATAAGCACTTACGTGTCATAGGAATCTACATCCATCATGTGAGCAGTAAGGCCTGAGTTGGTCGACAGTTTCAAGTGAACTGAGGTGGACTGCAGAGCACCGGCCAAGCAACCAACTGCTGTCCGGTGAACTCCAAAGCGAACTGAGTCGTACGTTTGGCAGCTGCCGCTCCTGGCATTTCATAATACCTCCCTGCATTTCATCTGAAACTGCTACACCGGTCCTCCCGTCGACCTTGTCACCGACCCTCCTAAGTCATAACCCCTAGTGGTGCTGGGCTCCTTCACCGTCGTAGGACTTCCATAACTTACGTACTTTTCGCAATGACGTGTTGCTTAAACCTCACTATAGCCGCGTCAGCTGTGCCGCTTCCCAGGTCCCAAATGTCCCATCGGCCTCTCAATGAATGACTAATAAAGTCCGGGTTTATAGGGAGGAGACTCCCTCAATGACGCGAATGAAATATTCAGCCGAGGCTGTTATTCACGTGAGGTGGAGCGGAATGGTCCGTCATTCACACATCTTCTGTTCCAGAGTCAGTTGGTGAAAAATTGCAGTGACAGGGGACCATTGTATAGGGAATTATAGGTTCTCTATTGAGGTGGTCTTGTGCGGGCGGCTTTCCCTCGTTAGACACGGAGGGGGGCAGATGGGACGAGGATAAAGGAGGGAAGATGGAAAGAGAGAATAAGAGTAGAAGAGGAGGGAAGGGGAGTTTATTGACCTGTGGAGCCAGAGGAAAAAATATACTATAGCTTGTGGCGACGCAGGATGTTGTGGTGTTTGATGTTATATAAGGGGAGAGGGCTCTTTTCCTTCCTCCTCCTTTTCTCTTCTTTTTCCATCTTCCTCCTATCGTCTGTTTCTTCTTTCTCTAATTCCTTCTTTTTTGTTCCTCCTGCGAATTTTCTCTTCCATTTCTTACTCTTCCGCATACTCCTTCTTTCTCTTATTATCTCCTGTTTTTTGTATCTACTTTTTCTGTGTATTTTTATGCTTTCTCTTATGTTTCTTGTATCTTATCTTTATCTTTTATGTTTCTTGTATCTTCTCTTTTATCTTTTTAATCTTTTTTATTTTGTTTTCTTAGTATTATCTCCATTTACTTATTTTCTCTTGTTAGCGACTTGTTTCTTTCCTTTTCCTTTCCATCATTTATATATATATTCCTTCTGTACTTCGGTGATCTTCGTTTCTTCTGTGTACTTTTCATCTCACTATCTTATGACTTATTTTTCTCGATCCTTTTCTTTCCCTTTCTTTGTTGTTCTAGTTTTTTATATTTTAATTTATTTCTTATTAGTTGTTAATCCTCTACAGTAGAATTAAAACTCTCACTTTCTATAGTAATTTAAATCAGGTAGTTCTTAACAGTCCAGGGCAAACACTTATTAAGAATGTAGGTGTTTATTACTGCTTCGATGGTACTTCTAGTTGGTAATAGTATTCAGCGGTAGCGTGGCCGAGCGGTCTAAGGCGCTGGTTTAAGGCACCAGTCTCTTCGGAGGCGTGGGTTCGAATCCCACCGCTGCCAGTGTTCTTTAGCTTCGGATCCGACTACAATAAATACTAATGAGGTAAAAAGTATGTTATCGTAAGTAGCATTGTTAACCGTATTTTATCCATCAGATGATACATATTGTGTTGATTTTTTTTAATTTATTGGCATTAATTGTGTCGACATAAAAAAACACTATTGACCCCGGAGTGACTCGAACACCCAGCCTTCTGATCTGGAGTCAGACGCGCTACCATTGCGCCACGAGGCCACACGAATTAACCCAATCCTGTCATAATCTCATAACTTAAAAGCCTTACCACGTTACTTATTTCATATATTTATAATAATATAAATTCTTGAGTGCAGGAAAACGTGGCACTATAAGGAAAATTAATGTTTTGTGTGAGCTGAAAACAAAATACATCAGATATGTTTAAATGGAAACTTAACTTTTTAATGGCCTTGTGGGGTTCTCGAGGTTGAATCACTTACTATTTCCTTTGTTTACGTACCTACAGTGTCTCTCTAAGCTACATGATGAACCAACGCCAACTTACTGTATATATGTAAAATATGTCTTCCATCTTTGTCCTGTCTCCATGTTGCATAAAGTACTGTACTGGAACATTTTATGACTCGCACTTATCCTCTTCATCGATGCTGTTTTCGTTAAGTTCGTCTGTCTCTTACACCGTGGTCTGTCATGGAGGAGGATAATATAAAAGAATTTCCAGGGTATACATATTTCATCTCATTCCTGGGGCGCCCAAGTTGCCCGACTAATGATCTCCATCTATGTATCCATCTATCTTTATCGCTCCCCTGTTCTTTGATTGTCGCATTAAATCTATTTCTTATCCTTCCTTACTTATTTTCTTTGTATTATTATCCCTTTTCTCATATTCTCTCTCTTGCCCTTTCTCTTCGACTGCGCCCATTAGCCAAGCTGTAATTAGTCCGAGTGCCTGATGTCTTGTATACATTATATGGATCAGGGAAGCTTACAGTTCTTCTCCAGATGACGCTAGAGTGGGTACAAAGGGTGACTTAATTGAAGTTTATGAACATCTCGGAGAACATTACCCAGTCGAGTGCTCATACCTGGAGCTTGCGGTGGCCCGCCCCTCTAGGGGTCACAGTTCAAGGTTGAAGAAGCCGCAAGTTTGCAAAATTGTGGGCAAATTTTTTTCGGAGTGAGAGTTGTAAACTCTTGGAACGATCTGCCAGAGAGTGTAGTGACGGCACCGAGTGTGAGTGATGCATTCAAGGCCAGACTTGATCAACACTGGCGCAGGTACAGATACGTTCTGGAGCCAGTACATGCCCATTACTTGCCAACAGTGCAGTGCGTAACAGAGACGTGACCGACCGCCCAAGCGACACGAGCCGATCAGTGACGAAGTGGATAAAAGTAATAAAAGTAAAAGTCTCTGTGGACTGAGGGTGGTGGGAGAAGCAGTGACCACCCCCATCCACTCTTCTAACTCCTGGCTTCAACACCACCGTGAAGTTTAACAATAATACAGCATTCATCATAAACTCCTTTATTAGGTTCAAACTTAATCCTTTGCATCCTTACATCACAGTTATCACCGAGACCTTACCAGCTGAATGGTTGAAGTGATTTCATGTGATGCAGTCAAGTGCATTCTCTCATGTACCCTTATGAGGAATATTCAGTGTAAGAATCTTTATGAGTCTAGAGTCTGATATACATTACCCGTAGCTCATCAGGTCTCTCAGGTCACTGTGGAGATGTTAAGCTCATATGATATAGATTTATTGTCAGTCACCTTGGCAGCTGTCTCGTAATAAGCTCAAGTTGACTGTGTCATCAAGACATTTTTTCTCAGTGACTTGGCCACTTCACGCAGTAAGTGTGTGTGAGTTCCTTTACTCGCTATTTGGCAACACTATCAAGCTTCTCCAGCTATCACAATCCGTCAAATGTTTTCATAAGAACGTAAACTTATTTTTGCGTGTGTTGATATGTCTGTGTGTGTGTGTGTGTAAAACTTTTGTTGCAATTAAAATATAAATTCGAAGGCGTAAAAAATTGGCAAAACTTTTTGTATATTTTAAAAGTAATAATTGTATGGAATTATTGAGCACCTGATATATGTTATCAGGTACCACTGACATTGTTTGCTGGCCAACAAATTTACAATTTTTCAATGCCATAAATTTATACCTAACTGTAAGGCTTTTCTTGTCATGTATAGACAGTGAGTGTAATTAGTTGTTAACACGAAACTGTACAATATTCTGATCATTTAATTCACCATCTCATGAATTCAGATAAGTCAGAGTATCTCGCGGTATCAGTGTTTACTATCAGTGATCCCGTCCACCATAAACATCCACACACATCAGTCTTAAAGCAGGAAGAATAGTTACTTGTTGTGTCATCTAATAGTACGCTAAGGTATACAATGCATCCCAAGTCGCTTCTGGACATATGTGTCGACTTTGTGGTAGACGCAACAGTGTCTTTCCAGCGGTATTGTCTTGATAACGAGGTAAGACGTTCTTGATAGTCTGATGTTGATGCGTGCTCATAAACAGTATGTTATTGATTACTACGTTATCAGAATTTGTCATAATCTACTCCATGGTGACAGCAGTCGGTACAGTTAATAGTAAGATGGGACTCTAATAATGTCATAGAAGTATTCAACACAGGGTTTTTTTTTTAATGTTACTGATATTAGCAAATCAACTCTTCATATATGAAACTTTCTTGTGCTTAGGCGCGAATTTTTGAGAACCGCAAGGCTTCCTTCTAACTCCCACACCATTTTGACATACGATATTTACCAACTAATACCCAAACACCAAACAAACCCATACCTATACTGAAGTCATCACATGATATCTTCTGTAAGCATTCCTCAAGCCTCCTTTGGAATTGTGTGGATGTTACTTTCACTGTTAGTTCATCTGACAACCATTTCATTCTAAGTAAACATAATCTCTATGTGGTAACACCGAACGGTTTTATTATTACTCCAGGTCGTTGCCGTCATGTTATGTACGTATGTGCGTTGTTGATTTGTGTGATGTTTCCTGGCAACTAATAGGAGCTGATGATTCACTGTTACGTTTCAGGCGGTGTGGCGTGACGTGGGTCACCTGTGGGAGGACCTGTGGTACCTGCCGCCTTCTGTGCATGGTCGTGCCACTCAACTCCTACACGCCCACCTCCTGCACGCCCAATTCTTACATGGCAGCCTTGACAGCTATGTTTACGATGTAACTCGCCCTCTTCTGACTCTGCTGGCTGTCAAGTCTCGCAAGATCGCCATCGTCCCGGTAGATCGACAGTTTGCAAGTCTCTCCTTCCCAGTTGTGTTTTCTGATTGTGGAGTGTACAATGAAGAACATCAGCTGCAGGAACTGGATTTAACAGGCGTTGACCTTGGTTTAGATATGGAAATGTTGTTAGCGCTGTTGCCTAGATGTCCAGAGATCACGGTACTCAAGTTAGGTGGTAACACTACACCAGATATCCTGCAAGCAGCGAAATGTTGTTTTCTTACGGTTCTCCACATAAGTGAACGAGCTGCTAAAGAACCTCGAGTCACTGAAAATGATTTAATTGATATAATCTTAGGTTCCAGAAGTCACAGTTCAACAGAGCTCCTGAACAATGTTCGATGCGGTAGAATACTTGATGTTAAACCAACATGGCCACGACTTTTAGATTTTTCTACTGGATATTGTAAATTGTCGGAAAGCTTTCTAGTTTTATTTCTTGTAATGTTTAAAAAAATACAGTATTTATCAAGTAAATCACTAGACTTGCAAAATGTTATCCATGCATTTAATGATTTGACCAGAGAAGTCCCTGATTTGCATAGACTTTCCTTAAAGACTTGTCATGCTCGTGCTGGTGAAGATTTCCTTGATACCTTATCACAAGTTACAACCAAGCTCGAGGATCTGAAGATAATCTACAGGAGACGAAGTATACATGGCATTATTGGTGATATGCTGAAGATTAATGATGACTTCCCATATCTGAAATCTTTACACCTTTACGGTTTGAGACATGTTGGTCTGGGTGAACTACCCGCTGAGATTTTCGTCGGTATAGGGATGCGACTCAGAGCGTTAGAGCTTGATGAAATATGTTTAAGGGATGTCGCATCATTGTTACAAGTGTTTCCACTTCTTCAGGATGTAACACTAACTTTCAAGCATGGAATAAAATGTAGCCACCCTGATCTTCCTGAAGCGCCACGTTTTGAGAACGTGATCTCTCTCAAGGTCAAGTCGCACCGGCTAAGGCACGAGCCTCTAAATTTCCTTCTTAGTTTGTGTCCTAAATTACAGACGCTTAATGTTCAAGGTAGAGTGTATAATGTAGAAATGTTCTTGGGATATCTTGCCCAGTTACTAGATCTAAGAATTGTTAAACTAACAGAACTTGAAGATTTGGATGTGGTAAGTCTGTGTGATTTGCCAAGGTTGGTAAGTGATCGACGGCCCTGGGAACTCTACGTGTCTCCTCATATTTTGACTCGAATGGACATCAAAACATTACAGAACTGTGGTTGGACGTACATACCCTTCAGAGCATATAACTTTAAAATTGGTAACTTGCTTTCAATATCTCCACGCCACTGGTGAAGCTGCAGTTTATACGAGCAGGAAAACGGGCGAGATACTAAAAAGTGGTAAAAAGTATGACCTGCTGGGTGGTTACTAGGGATATAAGACTAAAGAAGCTGTGACCTGCCTAAGGCAAACTCAAAAGAAATACGACCCAGTCAATAACGTCAGAGTCGATGATATACCTCATGGTTTGTCGACCAATCCCAACACAGTTAACAATTACTGGGGGTTGCTGCTCAACCATTTACAGCCAACATTCTATTAACGTCCATACTCACTCATATTACACTCCATCGTCCATAAAACATCCTGTTTTCGTGAGTCATCCGTAAACACGTCTCCAAGACTCAGTTCAGAGAAAACGAAGATGATGTAATAGTTTGTGTTAGACTTAAGTTATTAAATGTTAAGATAAGAATATTTAGTTGTCCATAAACCTGTGCACGTAGCAATGAGATGTATGTGCAATCAGATAACTGAGATATTCAAGACTATTTAAGTATGTGTTTAACACCTTAATTGTCTGTATCTATTGTGTAAAGTTAGCAGATCTCTGAGCTAGCGAAACAAGGCTCAGTGTTTCGCGTCCGTCATACATTATCCCGTCTTTGCTGTGTATTTGAAGTAGTTAAGTAACCTGTGAATTGACAAAGCTTGTGACTAAGCATTTAATCACTAAGACGTATCTAACTTCTTCTCAAGCTGTTTATAAGCTGACACCTAAAAAGTTTGAAACACATATTCCACTTATGTGTATTTCGTGAGTATTTAATGTGAAACAATGAGAGCTCAGTTAATTGATTATTATGCATGTGAGAGTTGAGCAATGAATGTAGATCCTTGGCCATGTTATTTTTACTGACCTAGGAGTTTACCAGCATGGAGCTGTGTGAAGGCTGTTAAGGTCTGGGGGCGTCGTGTGACAAGGTGGTGAACTGGATTCACCCAGTACTGCCTGGCGCTGAGAGATGTCCAGTGTGTGTGAGAGTCTCTGTTAGGGCTCAGGTGAGGAGTGGATAGATCCTACTCATAGCACCTAATTATGTGTCAGCAGTAATAAGTAGGGTTAAATATGAGGTATAATATTCATGAGTCATATAACTGTCACCAGCTCAGTTGTGTGTTTGTCCTGAGTTGAGCTCATGTGGGTTGTGAGTGGGGGTCGCCACTCATGTGCTGGCGAGTGAGGATAGATAGTGCTGGTGTGCTACTAGTCACAGTGCTATTGGGTGTGTACTATGGTGCTGTTACCAAGATTCCTAATGGTAATTAAGAAGTAATCACTCAGGTGACCTGTAATTTAGGTGCTCAATTGTGTTACATGAAAGGGTACAATACTGTGTATGAAGCCAGGGGCTATTTTGCTTTCGTGATATAGAAAGACAAATGGTGATTTGTGTTGAAAGGCTTGACTAAGTAATAAGTACCAAGTGAGTGAACGCATGGAGAAGATTCTGGTATTTTTGTATTGTTGAAAGTAGTCAAATACCAAACTTCTTTTTAATAAATAATCTTTAATGTTTTATTTTGCTATCATTATCACTACAGCATTGCCTTTGTTTCTCCCCTAAATTTATACCAGAGAATACACGAACCTACGTGTCCTAAACTTCGAGCCATATTTGAATTAAAAATCTGGATGGTGGCAGTTCACCTTAAACTAGTATACGAGAAAATATTGCATTCTACAGTAAAGGGGATTTCCCAGATAAGCTCGCAGATCAGAATATAAAGATCCTTAGAAAAGAAATAATTTTTTAAAGAGAATAAGTAGGATTGATGATTGGATATTATTAAAAAACGGCCTGACATCAGCTGATATTATCAATATATAAACACAAACAACTGGATGGGTTCGGAATTCGGCGAAATTTCCTCGCGTGGATAAAAGACTTTTTACATGGCCGCAAGCAGTGTGTGATGATTAATGGCACGAAATCATCGCCCTTACCTGTCAAAAGCTGGGTACCACAGGGCAGTGTATTGGGCCCGCTGTTGTTTGTTTGTTTCATAAATGACATGCCTGACGTTGTACACTCCTCCATGCAAATGTCTGCCGATGACGCCAAGTTATTTCGGGAAATCAAGAACCATGCGGACTGTGAAGAGCTGCAGAAGGATCTCTGTGAACTCCAAGAATGGTCGAAGAAGTGTAAGAGGATGCACCTGGGGCGTACCAACGGTAAGGAGGCGTATCATATGTCCCAACGGGCTGAAGAAACTGCACTATTTGAGACTGAATGTGAGAAGGACCTAGGTGTGTATGCTGACAATGAGCTGAAGTTCTCGGGCCATTGTGAGAAGAAAGTAAATCGGGCAAATAAATTATTGGGTCTTATAAAAAGGTCGTTCAGATATCTAGACGGTCCGTTCCTTTAAACGATCTTCAAAAGTGAAGTGCTTCCCCATCTGGAGAACTGTCACCCCGCCTGGTTCCCGAGATATGCTAGGGACTGTTAGTTGGTTGAAAATGTTCAAAGGAGGGCCACCAGACTGCTGCCTGCACTTCGGCACCTCAACTACCCTGAGAGATTGGAGCGCCTGAACTTGCCAATCTTATACTACAGACGGGCAAGGGGCGACCTAATTGAGGTGTAGAAGCTGCTACTAACTCCATGAACACCACACGATGCTGTGTTTTCATGTAGTCTGTTTTCTGTGTCGGTGTCGTCTGCATGAAACTCAATAGCCTGTGGAAACTGCAGTTTGTGGTTATTTGCGCACTTTAACTTTATTCTTGGGTAATATTAGCTCTTGCTTTTACATACTTTCACATGCAACTGTCTACATTATAGTTTATACTTTCAATATATTTTAGATAGTTGTAATAACGCCGAGGAGAATGAGGCTTCAAAGCGTGTGATCTCACTGATAACACCCCCTTGAGCAGGCATAACTTGAACGACCGTACCTCATCAAATATGGCCGCCACGCCCATGGGCAAATTTTTTTTGAGTAGTGAGTCACAACGAAAAAACACGCCGTAGCTAAAGTTATGACCAACTCTGGGAGATGGGGCGTCTTAAATGTTTTGGAGTATCCAGCCCCTGGGTCTCGCTGCAGGTTTTTGTAGTGACAACGTTGATGATACTCCGTTCGGCACTCGGATTTAGGTGGTTTATTGTTGGGTTGTTTATCGGCCCATCGTCGAGTTGCTCGCTGAAAGCATGTTCTCCTGCTTGATCCTCCAGTAGCTTGGTGTTAAAACCTCTTCTGGAGGCGTGTTGCCTTTGCCATTTTAGGGCGACATTATGAGGAAGTTTTGCCCTGATGAACCGATGATCAGTGTCACAGTGGTCTGAGCCACGCATGGCACGGGTGATGATGATATCTCGGCGATCTCTTTCTCTGACAATGATGTAGTCAATGAGAAGCTCATGTTTGGATTATGGGTGTTGCCACGAACTTTTGAATTTGTCGGCCTGCCTAAACAAGTGAGGTTATGAGAAGCACACTTGCTGAGGAGGAGTAGGGCGTTGGGATTACACTTGCCTAGTCCATTTCTCCCTATGATTCCCTGCCATATGTCAGCATCTCTGCCAACTCTGGCATTGAAGTCACCAAGGAGCACAACCTTATCTTCTCTGGGGATAGAGGTCAACATTCTGTCAAGGTCGGCGTAAAAGGCCTCTTTGATGTCATCCTCTGCATCCAGTGTTGGGGCGTATGCACTAATGAAGAAGGCATTACGTGAGTAATTCAGTGGGACTCGGAGTGTCACTAGGCGCTCGTTGACCCTAACAGGCATTTCAGTTAGCCTATGTAGGATGGATTGGCGAATGGCAAAGCCAACTCCATAAATGCGGGAGATTTGGATATCCCAATTAACAACGCAGAGTTTATTATAACAGGTAGATTTTCAGCACTGATCCGGACACCGCTAACATAACATTAGTTGTCCCTAGTGTCCACACCGTTTTCTGTGAACGTTGTGTCGCGTTGTGTTTGACTATTGCTTGTTTTATCGAGGCAGTCATACCAACAATCTATTTAGTTTGTTACTGTTATTCTAAATATATAATCTAATTATAAATATAAAATTAAGCAGTATATTTGGAAAAAATATCTAAAATCGAAGAAATAGCTCGTTATCAGTATCAATACGAACTTATTTTTTGTTTGAAATATTTTCTGTATTGCATATTTTCAAATATTTACTTTATTTTTAAATGATATTTTTTAAAACCAGCTTTTATGTCAACAAATTTATTCTCAATTCTTAGAAAAATGGAATGTATATTGAATTCATACGGCGATCCTAGCTTAGGCTCGTATCTCCTTTTCATGTCTTGTGTTTACATGCTGAGGATCAAGACGCCAGGGGAATTACACTGGAAAAAACAAGTGGGTATGTGTTAGAAGGTTGGCGAGTAAGACTTTAAATAGTGAAACGTGTATTCAAGATCGTAACTTATTAATGAAAGGGACGTTAAGTCATTTCCTTTGTGTTTATTGATGCAGTTGTACAAGACCCTTCACTGCTGGCGGGGACTGCTGGCATTGGGAACACGGCAGTGGAAATTTAATAGATTGAGACGTTAATAGCTCTCCATCAAGTACAATAGCTATAATAAGTGCTTTTTTAATAGTAAATCTTTATATATATTTATTTTTTTATAATTAGAAGATAGATGTAACATATCAGTAAGGAAGGTAGATGGGTTTGGTTGTGTTATGTTTCTCGGAATGGTCAAAATTCTGATATATGCTGAAATATATCATTGTTTATTAGTCTAAAATCTTCTTTCATAGTTAAAGCTTCCCAACTTATCTACACAAAAGTTGAAAATAAGCATTTTAAGTGATACAGCCGGGAGTGGTGGAACAGTAATGTGCTTTTCTCCCACTACTGTGCCTCAGGTACAGTCCCCGGGTTAGATGTGATGACAGTGTTGTCCAGTATGACTCTACCAAATATTGCAAGTGTTCTCCAAGCACTCCGGTATCCTCCTGCATTAACGTTGAATCCTTGAAAGGTAAATGAGCCACTGGTTTCTTTTCTCTGTCAGAGGTAAATAGTCAAATTACTTTCGGTGGCTTGTTTGGAACTTCATTGTGCATTTATGAAAACACACCAGCTGTTTCCTGGAATACATTTTTAATGCAGCCTTACTGCATTGGAGAGTTTAGGTTAGGAGGGATTCCGGCTAATGGAGATATTACTGAATTTGGATAACAGTCTCCTGTATTACCTTAAGATTTGGCTTGTGTCAAGAGTCATGTTAAGTGTGTGTAGCTGTAACCAATTCTTGCTGATGGCCAGCACCCATTCCTCATTAGGTCACAATTAGAATGAATTCTTTCTACAATTAGAACAAATATAAGTGGTGATGATGATAAACGTACAGTATTTAAAGATATACAGTAATAACTGATGGTCCAACTTGCAATGATTCACATTTAAACCTGTTATAAAATAAGGATCTAATTGGAGTAAATTTGATAAGATGTAAAACCTTGTAAAGATGAAAAAAATAATAAATACAGAATATCCTCCAAATTGCAAATCACACTTCTGCTTTTTAGGGTGGTGCATGTGGCATAGTTTCAGTTTACCAATTAGCCACTGCCTCATATTGACCAGCTGCAAATGAAGTGCTGTTTTTGAGATATTTTTAAAAATCCTATTCAAATGAGCTGAAGGAAATTACCAAGAGATAGCAGTGGTGCTGGTATTGTACAAAGTCTGTGAGTTGCATAATTGTTTTTGTTTTATCAACTCATAATTACGGATAGACATGCGTAATTTATATATTTTTTTTTACCCAGTCAAATGCATTGGCAATCTTTCATACAGAATGTGCAACAAAGATGATTTTAAGGTAAAAAACATAAAGGGAATAAACATTTTTTACGTGCCCCGGAAATGTTCCTTTGAGCTGTAGAGGGCGGAATGGAGTGGGAGTAGAGTCTCCCACTCATCCTGCATGTGTTACACAATTTTGAATTTTCATCATCTTATCTTGGAATATTGCGAGTTAGGTATATAAAAAATATTTCAAAGATAATCTGTACTGTAGTTAAATATTTTACTGCCCTTTCAAGTTATTGTGGGTTTACTGTTAGTTCAACCCTTTCAGTCCTGCCCACATACCTCATACACTTGGGACCAGAGTCCTATGCAGTATGCACAATTGCACATGTGAGATATGGGCTAATGTTTCCTACCACGTTTTAAATAATATCCTGGAGTGGCCATGAGTCATATAATGATACTATGTTGTAACTAGCAGTAATAATTCACCTTCAAAAATTTCACCGTTGTTCGGTTAACCTGCAAACACGGAAGGAAGTTTTTTGGAATGTGCATATGGCAGCCTCATGAGTGATACTAGTAAGTCTGGTACCTGTCAGGCTTTGGTTCATGATCTCAGGGGTTTCACATAAGTCATTAGCCATCCTGAGAGATATGTCTCTAAAAAGTTCTTGTCTTTGGCAGCAACCTTTGTTGAGAGTTGCTTGGGTAAGGAAATAGTTTAAAAGCATTGTGGTACTGAGTTTCTAAGATCACTGTTACACTTACCTACTGTACCTTTCAGAATGCCTTCCTTATGGGGTGCAGGTGCTCAGAAGCCGTGGAGTTTTATTTTGCCACCCTTTTCATTAAGCTGATCTAGCTGAATTTCAGATAATATGAGTCTTCTTAGACTGACAGTGTGATGTAAATCACTGGTTAATCCTGTAAGACCTGCTTTGTTGCTGGCTTTAGGCAAGGAGTCTCAGAACCCTCCCACCTCCCTTTTGGTTTTATTATGGAGTTCAACTGAACTGAACCTTGTTACTGGAAATTCAGTGTAATAATGATAATACAGTAAATGATATTTAGTAAATTTGACCAAGGACAGCAGACAAAGCCATGAGATGCTTATTTCCAGTAGAGCCCTTATGCCAGCAGCATCTGGTGTTCTTGTGGCCAGGTGGTCATCCATCCAAGTACACTAACTAGACTCAACATTGCCTAACTTCACTGATCGGACAAGATGCGGTGTTTCCAATGTGGTGCTACTTTACTGTGTAGCCTATGATGTACTGTACAAGCTGTTGTTGCTTAGGGCTCATCCTTGAGTGTTGACCTTCACCTCATCTCTGGGGGCTTGTGTAGAGTTGTACTAATACAATAGTTTGATTAGTGCCACCCATCAACGTTGAGGATTAGCCTGAGTTACAACCCAAATGTATTATGGGTAAGGTACAGCACAGTACTGTACTCCTTATCCTGACTTGTCAACAGAATGGGACTTCCCAGTTCAGTCCCTTAATTTAATATTTCACTTTCTCCTTGCAGGTTCTATTTAATGAGTATGACTACCCATTAAGGACAGGAGGCAAGCACAGTATCTACTTGCCCACTACAATATATTAACACTAACTGGCATTGAAATCAGCATTGATGCACATGTGAACTCGGAAATTAAGGCTTGATGGCTTAAAAGTGTCAATATATCATTAAAATATATCAAGAATAATTTCCACTAACATTCAAGACATGGTACAATGAGCTAGATAAGGTAGGAGTCAATATGCAATTATCATGGTTTTGTGACGAGTTGAATGTCTTACCAAAATAGGTAAAGTTATTTCCTGTGGACTAATGTACAGTCAAGTAGAGCAGCCAGTGGGCTAAGATAATAAGGAATTTATAATTGGTACAAAGTTTATTTAATTCAGGTCTACATGATAGGTAGTCAAGATAGGAAATGGCTAAGTAGGTGAGAGAAAGGGGGAATAGGGATTATGGCTGTGAGTGAGTGAGATGGATAGCCTGCAAGCACTGGTGAGAGATCATAGTGTCAATTGGTTTATGGGGATAAGATCTTGGAGCCATGTTGTGGAAGGGGATTACATTTGAAAATTGTTATAAAAGTTAGAAAGACTAAGTAATGGGAGAGTCTTCCAGGCAGGAACAGTCTTTTAAAAGTGGAAATATATATATAAATAATCATAATGAAAATACAGTATTGCACTGTAATCACAAAATATAGATTTTAAAACATCATGTTTTCAGTGTGAATGAATTGCTTTTAGTTAGTAATGAATGGGCTTGTTTATCATATATAGTACTGCAGCTATTGTAGATTTGCCTTGCTTGTACACTCACTAAATTTATGTTTCAATGTAAAAAACATTTCATAAGTACCGTATATACTCGTGTATAGTTCGAGTTTTTAAGACTAAATTTTTAGGCAAAAAATTGGGGGTCGTCCTATACATGCGTAATAGTTTTGTTAGGTTGAACCCGTGCATGATGGGAAGGGCAACTTTTAGCTTCAGACATGAAAAATATTTACCATTTACTGCCAGTAAACAATGGAAATGTAAAATATGTACCAATTAGTAATGAAAAGTTGTGCAGTTCCTTCAGCAAATGCTCACCAACTTACAATAGGCTAAATTACCTTACAACGTGCTTTCAGTAGTCTATGTTGAAGTTCTTAGCACAGGCTAACTTATCATATCATATACGGTATCACAGTTCTCATTGATCTACAAAAAATACCGGTAATAAAAACGTTTTCGATATTTCACACTTAATATAATACCCGGTAATCTACTTCAACCTCCTATTGTTTACAACGGCGCATGACGCACCACCAGCTGTTGCGTCAGCTAGACGGTACACTTGTTTTTTCGAATCGTTTTCAGTTAAAAAACTGTTACATCACATGTATATTTTACCTTAACTGTGCCTGAACGAATATATTCTCTTAAATAAATAGTAGTTTTGCTGAAACGTGATGTATTTTAATGTAAAATAGGATAAAATAAATGACGAAAACAAAAGATTTTACCTAACCTTCCTATGTTCAAGATGTTACTCGTTTTTTTAATGGTTTTTGGTTAAAATATTGTTATATTACAATAGTATTCTATTCATACTGTGCTTCATATAATGCATTCACGAAAATGTAATATTTTTGCTGAAATGACGTACGTATTACAGTGGAAAGTGGGATAAAATTGTGACGAAAACAATGACTTTCGCTTTCTTTTGTTCAAAAGATGTTACCGTAATCGCTTTTCGAATGGTTTTCAGTTAAAAACTGTTGTATTACAATAATATTCTATCCTAATTGACTTGAATAAATACTACGATACCATATTTCTGAATATTTTCATTGAAATCCATGAAAATCATTTTCCTTGTCATCGTATGCAGCACCAAACAGCTTCTCCCAGTCCTCTCCTTGAACAGGGCTAGAGGGTACGTGTTTTTCGAATCGTTTTCAGTTAAAAAACTATTACATCACAAGTATATTTTACCTAAACTGCACCTGAATGAATATATTCTCGGAAATAAATAGTAGTTTTGCTGAAATGTGATGTATTTCAATGTAAAATAGGATAAAATACATGACGAAAACAAAAGACTTTACCTAAGCTTCCGATGTTCGTGAGATGTTACTCGTTTTTTTAATAGTTTTTGGTTAAAATATTGTTATATTACAATAGTATTCTATTCATACTGTGCTTCATATTATGCATTCACGGAAATGTAATATTTTTGCTGAAATGACGTACGTATTACAGTGGAAAGTGGGATAAAATCGTGACGAAAACAATGACTTTCGCTTTCTTTCGTTCAAAAGATGTTACCGTAATCGCTTTTCGAATGGTTTAGTTAAAAAACTGTTGTACTGTATTACAATAATATTCCCTCCTAATTGACTTAAATAAATACTTGAATGGAAATACTATACAATATTTTTGTTGAAATTACCCGCGTTTCAGTGTAAAGTGTCGTAATAATAAATGGTAAACAATTTGCCTTCGGCACTCGTGTTTCAGGCACGGCAAGCCTCAATTTATTGGACGTAGAGCGTTTTTACTGAAGGTTTTGTTGTTCCAATACCCTCAAAAACGTGGGTCGAACTGTAAACGAGGAATATCTTAAATTAACGATTTCTTGGTAAAAAAATCAGGGTCGACCTATAAACGAGGGGGGTTATAGACGAGTATATACGGTATACAGTACAGTATTAATATTTTAGTACAATACCTATACAGTACCTGTACATGTATTAAGAAAAAATATTACATTTTACTGTGATATAAACCTTATTTTGTCAAGAAGTCTGTAGACTGAGTATTATTTTTATATCAATTTATTGAAAATTCTAGTGTCATATTTTAATTCTAAAACAGTGTTTTAATTTAATATATTTTTTCAGAACTTTGATTGGAGCTGCAGAAGCTGGTGTCATCTGCTGCACAGTACCCAAAATGTCGGATGACATGCACGCGGGCAGGAACAATTTCACAGGCACAGAGGGACGTTTGAGTATCTGCGACTTCTTGAACAGTGTGAGCATAAATAATCCGGATCAACTGGGCCCCAGAAGACCCACCCATGAAAATTTTGATTATAGTCATGGATTTCCTAGGGGCCCACCTCTACCAGGAATGGGTATTATTGTTCCAGGGCAGCCAGCACCTCCATTTCCTAGACCACCAGTTGTATGTAGGCCATCTCTTCCTGATGGATCCCATGCACCTCCACTACCTCCTCTACCACCTCATGGTCCCATACTGCATCATCCCCCTCCTCTTCCACATCCCCCTCACATTCCTCCTCCTCGCCCTCCGATGCTTCCTCCTACTCCACATCCTCACATTCCTAACTTACCCATACCACCCAATAACCCGTATTCAGTACCGCCTCCTACTGAGGCTAAATCACATCGTCCTCCACCTCCTAGTACTCAGAGGACAGACTCCACAATGCACCCTCCAAGATCAACACAGCCCAGGCATTGTCCACCACCGCTCCCAGGTACACAGACAACACGGCCACCACCTCTCCCTCCTAACAGTTTTACAGTACAACCTCCACTCCCTCCTCTGCCTCCTCTACCGCCTTCACCTAAGGTTGAGCTATCAAAGCCACCTCCTCCAAATGAACCACCACCATTTATCCCAGTCAAAAAGACTCGTGAGCCTTCTGCATCTCCACAGTCCTCAAAAGTGGAGTCATTTACCAAGTCATCCCACTCAACAAAAATAGGAACCCCAAGCTCCTCAAAGCAGTCAGGAACCAGGAGATTTTTTTCTAGTACTCCAGATATTGAACATGCAAAACCCATCCCAAGTATTGTCTCATCTCGTCCACCTGCCAAACCTGCCGTCCCCCATGCTAGCAATGGTAATTCTAGGATCCCTTGCCCTACGGTGCCTCCTAGTGTTACCCCATATACCATTATTCAAGCTTCTACACCTCCTCCTCCTCCACTTCCTCCCCCAGATACTGTACATCCTCCCTTCCCTCCTTTTATGTGTTCTCCGACTACTTTTGAGGAAGAACCATATGATCCTGAGGAAGCCACATTTTCCCCAGCCTCCAGTGATGGTTCCTCCCCACTAGAGGAAAGTGCAGAAGACACTCTTATCAATAAGTATGTGAGGAAACCGAGTAAATTACGTTCATCTGAGAATTTCTCCAGTTCCCTCAAAACGTCAGAAAGAATAAGATGTGACAACAAGAAAAAGAAAGTTTCTTTTTCTAAAGACGTATCATTTTCTTCAAAAATAAACAAATCACAAACAGACTCTCCTGCCAGACCAAACTTAGATACTCGGCTGAAGATCATGTTTGGAACTGTAGAAGAAGATGCGTCAAAAAAAGCCAGAAAGTCTTTGTCCCACGCGTTGTCGCCCAACTCGAAGTCGGAGAACGAAGTGGAAGAGCAGGAGAGGCCACTGTCTCCTACCCCATCTCCATTTGTGTCTAGACATATGTATCTCTACTGGCATAAGGAAACAATCAAAGCAAGAAAAGCATCCAAGCTGTCAAGTGTTGACTTTGTAAATTCTAATACAAGCACTCTAAGTGTTAAGCCACAACTAAATGGACAGGTTTTAATGTCAATACCTCCATTAAAGGGTATGCCTCCACTTCCAAAAAACCTTCCAACTGTTCCCCCTCCAAACTACAAGAGTTCTCTAACAGAACCTTTTGCAATTAAAGAGGGTAGCCTTAAAGCAGAGCTAATTTTGAAAAATATCAACCGTATGCACCCATATAAGATCAATGATTCTAAGGGCTATGTTCTGAAAAATTCACTGGACTCCGAGTTAGAACTAACAAGTGAAGCAATGCCAGGTGAGTCGAGTGATGAAGAAATGTCGGGCGTGCGTGGGAACGATGATCATGAAAATGTAACGGTTAATCTTGTGATGGCAAAAATTGTTGAAGAACTTAAGCAGGTAATTCGAGAAGAACTAACTAAAAAAATTGTAGAAAAAAGGGTTAAAGTGTGCCTTGACAAGGATAAAAAATGTTAGGAGGATGATGATGGTGAAAGTTTTTGCACACTTAGTACAAACCAATACAGTACAGAAAAGAATCTTCTCCACAATATTTTATATATAGTTTAGCTGTGGTAATTCTTCTTAACATGGCAATGATTAATACAGTTGTGTTTATATTCAATCATACATTAAAGCATTATACACAGACTTGAACTAGATATCTGATTATACAGTACAGTACTGTGATGTCTAAGTGTGTAAACTGAGTCTGAAGCTTGCAGTGTGAGGTCTCTTAGCAGTTTTGTTGTGATAATTTGCATAATCTGAACTTAAAATAGGCTCAGATATGTTTCATTAACTATACTTTCAGGTAATAGTATTACTTCGCGGTGGTAAGGTTGCTCTGTTAATTGATGAATAATTTCCTCAACATATTTTTTCTTCACATCATCTTGACAACATTGTAAGTTTGGTCAAACCAATATCAGTATTGATGACAACTAATGTTTTTATATTTTGGAACATTTGACGTTGTATGATGCAGCCACTTAACTGATCATGTCATAGACACAAAATGAATGTAGTGAAGAATATTCACAAGGATATTATTGTATTATACTTCAATTTTTTTTTTTTTTAATGCAGATCATCCTCCTACAGCTCATGTAACTAGAAGCATATTATGACATACTCAATTTATTTACATACAAATTGATTAGTAATGCCAGGACCCCTATGTGTGTTTCACTCATTTTATGATATCTCTGCATTGGAATTCATTATCATATATTATCAGTGCTGTATGTTCTCTGGATATATAAATTAAATATCAGCACAAGTGACCCTTTACTTGAATGGCTATTTTTTAATATATTGGGAAAATGTACAAGTTCATATATATTTTTATTTGCACTTTCGTATGACTGTTAGAAATGTCAGTTGTTTGGTCAGGTTAACAGTTACCAGTTAAGTTTATTACATCGACTCAAGAAAGTAAGTCTTTAGGTAAATAAAAAGTGCTTCAGGAGTTCTCACTTATCTTCTTCATTATACTGTACTGTATAGTTTAATATATAATCAGAGTAATTATCACTGGTTAGTTATGGTATATAGAAGTTGATACATTTACAGTTATAAAACTTTTATTTTACTTGGAAATCCCTGTGATGCTGTAAATGTAACAAATTAATGATACAGTAGTCATTATATTTGAAACTATTCTTAAAAATATGCTTTAATTATATTGTTATTTTTTTATTGTATTTCTCATAGTAAAGCCAAAAAGTGTATCAGACCCTGTAACTTCATTTTGATCTTTGTTACTATACTCACCATTATCCTTCAGAAGTTTTACAAATTATCTTTATGAAGCAAAAGTTCAAATTTAATTATGGTCATAAAATTGTTATGAGAAAGTAGATCAAGATGATTCTGTCTATATATGGTATTTTTGTGACCTGCAGATAGTTCAACAAGTATATACCTGAGAAATCACCTAATTAAGATGCTCCTGGCAGAATCTGTCATGTGGGAGGCTGTTTGTATTCTTGAGATGGACACTGTCCTTTTTGATATCTGGAAATGCTGTGTAAACAACTACTCATTTAAGATAACCATAGTTGACAAAGCAAGCTCATACCCCAGCTTGGTAGTTACTTCAAGATGTCAAGTCATGAACTTGGATCACACACCTGCCTCTGGCCTGCTGTCAACACATTTTACCTGTGCCCCCTTGTACTCCTTTTATATTTTCTAAGGATACTTTTCTCAAAATTGTTGGTAGTGTAACCTTTTAATTTTATGACCTAAGAGGTTTGAGTCAAGTAAACTAGTAAAGGCCTCATCCTTGTGCACCTATTGACTCATTGATTTTTCAGTTAGGGTTGGATCTTTCCTAAATCTAAGTTTAGCTGGAAAAGTTACTATTTATGTCAACAAAACAATGTCCCTGCTTCAAGACAGTTTCCTGGTCAAGGAGGGTTCTGCCAAGGATTCTTCTGGGGGTGTGATCTCTGAGGTTACATATCTTCCTCATTAGCCATAGAATGGGATTTCATTCTGCAGTCCTTTGTTTTATAATATGTGTAAAGCTCCAAATTAATAGCCATCCATCTTCTACTTAACATTGCACATAATCATGTCTGAATTTCCAAAATTAGCTATTCTAAGGATGAGCATTTGGTGGTCAGTGCTAGGTGCTTATTTGCTTTTAACCATATTTAACATATGTTAACAGACTATACAGATAGACATACAGGATGTGTGTAATCAGTAAATGTAGTGCATATTGAACTCTCTCATTTTTAAAACAATTTTGTTCCTAGCTATGAGATTTAAAAAAGATTGTTTCAAATGTCATAAGTATTTTGGAAACAGGTTTATTATGAGCTGTGAGTTGAAGAAGATATCAATTTTATTTTGACAATTTAGCTGTGAAAACATATTTACAAGTGTCAAATAATTTTGGAAATGTAGATTTATTTCTAGGTGTGAGGTGAAGAAGATATTTTCAAGTGTCATATAATTTTGGACACCGGTTCAGTCCTAGGTGTGAGATGAAGAAGATATTTTCAGTCATCATGTTGCTGAAGCTCTCCGCTGTCCTACACCTTTTTCTTAACTCTCCCAGGTTGTTGCCTCACTATGCTGTGGAAAACTGTTCTCAAGCTACTAACTTATTCCCAGGTGGGTGCAGCTCTTACACAATGGAAAATTTTTCTAAAATTTCTTTATAGTTCAGGTGACACTTATCAGTTGAATATGTTAGTTTATTTCTTAAGTTCATGTCCCGGTTTGTGAAAATTGTAAGGATGGAGGGAAATAATTTTGGTTTTAAAAACTCTGTCCTTTTACAATGAATAATATGATTTCATTCATGGCAGAAACTTTTTTTTTCATTTACATTAAATCTATCATTACAGTATGTCCTTATCTATATGACACTACAGCATAACATTATGTGAATCTTTTTCAGTAATATATTTTACATGTATGATAGTGCATTTGATGCCAAACCAAAACACTGACTGGGTTATAATTACTAGTGTGAACCAGTAGTACATATATCTGCCATTGAAACTCCTCCTCGTCAAGTGTTGCCCTGCACCAGGTGCTGTATTAGTTTCCTATTTTTATTAAGTGATGCACCACAGGAGGAGGTGTAATTCATTTTTATCAGTGAAAGAAACAGTCAATAGGAAAATAACTTCACACTTGACTGAACCCAAGTAAAGGTTGTCATTAAATGAAGCAAAATCTGATCATGAGTAAGTCACTGGGTGCATTATACAGTACCTCTATAAAGTGTGCTTGTTTGTTGTGGATGACAAGCCCCTCTTGATTTTATTATTATTATTATTATATAGTTTGTTCTGTTTTTTTTACTGAACTTGAGAGAGTAATGTTAGTTGGTATTATTTGCTGGTCATTGTAATCATGATTGTTGTATGATGTTATGAGGATTGCTTACCCTCTACCACTGCTTAAGTAATTATTTATTTTCTTTTTACTGTTAAGCATCATCTCTTCACAGAAATGTTTTACTGGTAGGGCAAGATATACAGTGTACAGGTATTGCCCTGTCTAAAGGACTTATCAGCATAGATGTCATGTTTTTTCTTCTTTTTATAAGCGATATATATTTACTGTATATAACGAGGTACACCATTTTTCCCTTGATGACATATGGAATGGTATGGGCTTGGAAGGATTCTGGGTTGGAAATTTTCAACTAGTATATTTATATATCGTCATCTCCTATACAAGAAAGCAAGACATGTTTATATCTCCACTTGACCGAGCTGATGATTGGTTACTACAAAGAACGGCTTTCAGGTGATGAGTTTTAGTCATAGAAGTAAATTATCAGACACACTTCATATTGGGTGTGTGTGTGTGAAGGATATTTTTTGACTTGTCTTGTGTGGGAATTTTGTATAAAGATTATGCGACTCCATATTAGATCTCCACGATGTTGCATCTCATTAAGAGCTAGATGCAGTCAATACACCAAAACCTCAATTATTCGAGATTATTTTATACGAGAATTGTGATTGTCAAGATTAGATTTTTAGTTTTCGGTTCATTTCATGGTTTTGTGGTGATAAGCCATTAATAGCCAGGTTTCCAGTTCAATTACTAAGATTCTTGGTAGTAATTTTCATGATGGTTGGGGTATTGGTGTACTGGTCTTCCCCTGTAGAGAATTATTGTAAATTAGTGTTATTACTCTCAAGAATACATGTTAGTAAGTCTAATTTTTGTGTTTCTTGATCCTCTAATAGATCTATAACAACAACTCTTTACAAGTGCTGTGGTGTATGAGATGAGTTTTTAGTGAGTAAAAAACAAAGAGTGTTTTGTAATGTACAAAAGGATTGGATTTTTAGTGCAATTTTGAGTGTGTATGTGTGTGTGGTTCAGGAAGCAAATTATGGGAGGTATGCAGTTATACCTAGATACTTCATAGTAACAGGATCCAGTTAACATTGTGCTAAATCCAAATTGTGTTGTATTTCTGAAGGGAATCCATGTTTTAATGTAGTAACTTGTTCTGTTAGTTTTGGTGAAGTCCACCCTCCCACAAGATCATACTGATTGACTCCATTTTCTGTGGTGCTCTGTTCTCTCTACCACCTCCTACTCCTAACACCTGCTGTGAAGTGATTACAGTAAATTATGATATTGTCCTGAACTAAAAATGAAAAATAAACCATATTAGGAAGAATGAGGAAAAGTTTAGTTGGTGTGGATGAGTTAATGATGTATAATTGCATTAGTTTTTTTTTTTGTCTTGATTTAAGTTTCTGATATATTTTTAGCACTGAGATGTTGCTTTTTTCTAAATGATTTCCATGCCATTGGTGCTGAAAAATGAAAATTTCAATACAGTGAAAGGTTTCAAAGCAGGTTTTATGAAATTTGCGACTTAATGAATGGTGTGCGTGAGTACAGTATGTGTGTTGCTGCTGCTTCCCCTTCCCCTCCCCTGCCAGATGTAAGAAGAGGGTTTTAGTTGTATGGATATGATAACGACGGTTGAGCAGGGAATGGCTATACTTGTACTGTATTTGTAATTTCTTTTGCTGGTGAGTGTTGTGCTTAACCACTTAGCTAATGGCCTTATTAAAGTACAGCATAATGAACCGAGTTCAAAAGGTATAACATTTGATATGGGACTAATGAGCAAGTGTGGCAAACTCTGCCACAACACAAGCGTTAATTATTTTGCCCAGTGTATGTGATTTCATCAGTTAGGTGGTACTGTATACCTCAAAATGCAGCTACAATGAAGCAATGCCCTATTCAATTTCATTATACAAAATTTTGCTACTCACAAACATACCTAACACCATACAACCTAAATGCATTACTTAAGTTACTTATATACATTATGGAAGACAGCATCAGACTTTTATATCTGGATCTTCATTAAGTTAATGAACAATAATTAATACTGAATCAATTGGGCTAGTGGTACTACTACATCTAATGAGGATCTGTAATTGTACAACTTCATCTACCCAGTATATTGCTACTGTGGAATTGATATAGCTAAGGCCAATGCAGTAAAATAGATTCAACTATATGGTACTGCTTTAAGCAGTAGACCTTATCATAGCTACTATTACACCTGTAAACAGGAAGATGTCTGGCTTCTATGTGTCCAGTAGAATAGAATGTTAATTTGGCCCAAATAAGACCAAATCTTATTTTCTTAACATCTCTGATACAAACAAAATAGCCTTCAGGCTTCCTTATCACCACACACAGTAGTATCTTTGCCCTCTATATATCTCTTATTCCTGTCCTAGATCTCTCCTTAATGTAACACCACTGTACTGCACCTTTCCATCCAATCATATAGTTTGTCTCTTACTCATTGCATCTGTTACATTTTCCCTTTATGTTCTCTCTACTGGCCTCTCTTGCACCCTCTTTTTATGTCCATACCATCTTTACAAATCTTTTTTTGCCCATCCCACAACTTTACAATATACATTCTCATCAGTTCCAATTTCTCCAATTTTAGATAATTGTGGCATAAATCAGTAAGATGTACAGTATCACAATATCTTTCAGTTCTTTCTTCACTTCCAAAACTTACATCCCATTCCTTGATGTTACTTTACAGTCCTCAAATCTTCCTCCACTCATATATATTTTTCCCTTCCCAATTACACTGTCAGACCATTCTTACATAGTAAGTACTGTAATGTGTCACTTCTAAATACTTGAATTCCTTAACCTCTTCCAGTGTTTTAAATTACTTTATATTTAAAATTTTTTAGTTTCTCCGACCAAATTTTACAGTGTTAGACTCCTTCTTATTAAATATCATTACCTTAATTTTCAAACAATATGACTTGAACTTCCTTTGATCAGACACCATGGCACATACTCTACCTTCCAGTTCCAAATTTACTTCTGTATATAAGTCACCCTTACCTTTATTTCCCTTACCACACCAATTTTATATATTTGAACAACCACACGGATTTCACACACATTCCTGCCTCACTCTTACTACCATCTCAAAGCTCTCATTTAGTCCTCTACTTATTCTTTATGACTTTCATTGCAAACAGTTTTCTCCCTACTCCAAGAATCCCCATCACCTCCCCATGCTGCTCCCAGTATCCACCCTACATTATGCCTTCATCAAATCCATAGATGCTGTACAAACTTCCTACTCTTTTGGAATTGTTGTATTTTTCTGTGAGCATTTTCATCAAATAAATTTGGTCTGTACATCCCCAACCTTCTTTGTGACTTTGTTTCTCACTTATTTTACATTCTGATACTTTTCTGACCCATTCACTTACGCCCTTACTTATGCTGACATGTACTTCAATATTTTTGCATTTATTACCTTTTCCTTTATACTTATTAATATAGACTTTAACCGCTCATCTAGCACTGACTGAGTTGTCCATGCCATTTTATATAGTTTTTATTTTCTCCTTGCCATGCTTGAACATTTCTACCTCAACACCATCCATCACTTTTAGTACTTCACCCAAAATACAAAATGCTTACTGCTGCTTGTATCTCCCTCTTAAATACTGTACAATGTATTTATTTTTGCACTTTGATCTTACCTCCTTTTTCCATTCCCCCTAAATACAGTGGTCCCTCGGTTAACGAGTTACCTTCCATAAGATTCTTAATTTCGGTTAACGAGCAATCCTCGATTAACGAGTTTCTTACGAGCCGACCTCCACATGTTTTAGCTTGCATTTGGCGGTCCACCAGCTGTAGTATTAGTCTGTCAATACAGTAATCGGTTCTAGGGCTTAAATTCCTTACCCTTTTACTAAATATCAAGAAGTTTATACTATTCAATAATTTTAAAAGTTTGATATTAATTTTTTTAGTCATTTTAACAATTATTGAACATAATTGAAGGTAGGGTCAATAGTTTGTGGCACGCCATCCAGCCTCTCAACACACCATACAGGCGTCAGTCTTTGTGTCTTTTCAGTGGAGGTAACATCTTTCTTGAGACTCTCTTCACTAAATGCTTTTTTTCTGTGTTTGCAAGCAAATTATTGGTCATTTTGAAATTTATTTTACATATTGACAATATATAATGCAGTGCAATGTTGATTTAAAGAAAATAATCTTGAATTACACCAAGAGAACTAAAATTTTATGGGTGAAATGGCACCATGGGGTGACTTCTC